CATGCATAAACGATAGAACTACAGACAGAGTGACGATCATGCATAAAGATAAAGCAACTATCAATAGCTAAAGCAACAATAGAGCACGGAACACTGTAAGCAACAGGTAAAGAGATAATCCAATCAAATGAGATAAAAAGGGTCCTTAGGATATGGTAATCGATTATAGCAGTCTCCTTAGTCTACTTAAGTGGTTAACAAGTCAAACAGGCTAATCCCTAGACAATAGATTCAACTACAGATCAATTCACTCTCAGTGACAGAGATCCCAGGCTAAGTACCAGTTCAGAACTCATATCATCATTAGCTAAATCTAACTAGCAGGGCAATAAGATTCAATCTAATATAGTCAAGTAAACATTCTAATCATCACAATATCTTGGGCTAGAGTATGTAAATCTCTGAGAATAGTTGGTTTCAGACATTTTATCGAACCACCTTGTGGGTGTTGAATGTCTGAGAATCAACTTCCAATTGATCAGAGAGGAAAATAGCATTAAGAACTACTAAACCAGAAGGGAATCAAGAAATTCTACACTTAACCACCTAAATAAACTAAGGATTCCACACCTAATCTATCCCATCCTCAAGAACCCTAATCCACTACTCAGACATGCTCAAGAACACAAACCCAGAAAATTGCACAAACCCAGAAATCGCTTAAAACTTCATATGTTATAGATCAAAGCAAGATAAACAACTTTGCAGAAGGAAATAATTGCAAAAACTCAAAGGATCAAAAGTAATTTGGATAACAAAAGTTTGTAGAAAATATTGCTCAGAGGCTAAAAACGAGATCCCTTGGGCAAAGCCCTAAGAGGTCTATTTATAGTGAAAGTAGAAAACCCTAATACACAAAATGACAAAATAGAAAGTCGGTTTAAGGCCTACTCGAACACGGACTCGAGTGGTGTTGGTCGAGTAGTCTATTCTTCAAAGTTTGCATCTTGCTGGAGTGAAGCATCTCAGGTGAACTCGAGTAGATACTCGATTAGGTACTCGAGTAGGTTTTCCCATTCTTCATGCAGTCTGCTCTGGTGATGCTATCAAGTGAACTCGAGTAGGCAGTCCGAGTGTCTTGGTCGAGTGGTCTGGTTAAACGCTGAAGACTTGTGCTTCAACGCTTCTGCTCAGACAAGGATCTCAGGTGCTGCTCGAGCATGAACTCGAGTACATACTCCTACGCAGCTCTTCAGTACCTAAAAACACCTGATACAACGCCAAAATGCAAGAATGTATGCAACATAGATGTAGAACGATCCTAAATGCTCAAAGTGGAGATAAGTGATGCAAACTAAGTGTTACAGGAATGAAACAAGGAAGAAACTTGACTAAATGAGATGTAAATGCATGGTAAAAACCTAGAAAAATAAAGACATATCAACTCCCGCAAACTTATTCTTTGCTTGCCCTCAAGCAAACAGTAAAGATCAAGCTGGAGGAGAGGTTTGAAAGTGGAGACTCAGAACCAAAACATGCATATAGAGTAAGTGAATTCAATGTCCAGGTTGCTAATTCTAGAATGCAAGGTTGACTGATCTCTACTTAAAAACTTTAGCCATCTCCTTCACATCTCAACCTAACCTCTGCCTTAATCAATTCAAGCATTCAAATCAGCACATTCCCTTTAACATTGATTAAGTAGGAACCGTGAATCATACTATGCATTGGATATGAACACATTTGGCTTAAGGGTAGAGGCTTAGAGACAAAGATGGTCCCTTAAAGATCTGGTTTAAATCGCAACAGGGGATCTCTCAAGAATGATTGAGCTTTAGTAGAATGCTAAAGGTGAGTATCAAGTTATGCATACAAGGATAAGACCCCATCTACCCAGAATGTAATCAATATCAACTCAAATGGAGGTCCTATTTCTAATCCCAGAACATGAACCTAACTCTACCCTTTTGCACTCAAAGCATTTACAGACTTTTACTCACATCATTCCTTTCTTTTCTTTGCTTTTCTATCCTAGGAGAAGCTTTCTTACTTTGCTCTGTCTAGCGGATTAGGATTCTTTAACAACTAGGGTTCCCTTTTCTTTCTTCTCATAAACACAAGGCTTTTGCCCATTCTCTTTAAGCTATTTACAGAACCCCTTTTCTTTACTTTAGCACATCCCAAATCCTTTACTAGACTTTTCTTACTTTAGCTACTTCTCCTAAGGACTCATTTCCCTTTTCTTTTCTTTCAATGATGAACACAACCTTTTCTTTCTTTTAAACACAACCCAAACCCAGAATTAAGCACCCACCTAGTCCTATCTGGTCCAGATAGCGTGAACCAGAACTACATGAGATACTATCCTTGTCGTTACAGACCTAACACTTTCTACCAAGCTCAATCGGAATAAGGCCTCACATTCACACACAAATGATAAATGGCTTGAAAGAAGGTTAGGCTTAGGGTAGGGAATAACTGCTCCAAAGATGGGAGTCAGCTACTTGGACTAGCAAGAGTGATCAAAAGGTAAAAGAAAGTCCAAGTATTTTAAGGTATCCATGAGTTCATAGCACAATGCACAGCATGATAATTATAAGTCAAAATTCAAGTTCAAATAGATAGGGAATGGCATCAGATCAAAGCGAGATTCGACTAAGAACAAGAAAGTCAAGCGTTGAATTCAAAAGATGGTGCGGTCTTACTTCAAGTTCAGTCGATTATGCATTAGAGAACTAACAACCTGGGCACTGAGTTCTACTTAGTGAATATGCATATTTACAAGGTTATAATCATCATAGCCTCCAATGCAAATGCATGATGCAACAGCCCTAAGTGATTGCATACGAAACAATCCTACATGACAATGCAAACTACATGAACACTCTTTTTTTGTGAAATCATTTTCAGAAATTTTTCAAATTTTTTGGTTTTTTCTATGCCTTAGATGCAATGCAGATTATATGATGCAAAATTTGAAATAAGAACAGAAAACACAATGTCAAATACTCCCTGAGCCCTCCCCCAAACTTAAATTACACAGTCCTCTGTGTAACAAAAGCTTGGAAGAGAGTACTCAGGGCAAACCAATAGATAAACAAAATGAAAGATGATATAAACAATGGTGAAGTGGAGGTGTTACCTGGTCTAAGTGAAGAAAGCGGAGACGTAGTCATCCATGCTCTCACTCGTGTAGCTCCAAGGTACTGGCTGGGATGAGCTCGGAACAGTGGGCTCGGGTTGCTGCTCAGGAATGTGCTCTGGCTGCTGCACAGGATGGTGCTCGAATGTCTGCTCGGGTTGCTGCTCGAGTGGTATGTTCGAGTGCTCTCCTCGAGTGACAGCAGACCGCTGCTTGATCTTGCGCTTCTTCTTTCTTTCCCGCGACTCATAAGAAGACTGTCTTGGTGGAGAAGGCTGCGCTTGGTGTTCCCGTGTTTCGTAGACCGAGTGTCTTGCAGGTGCAGAGGGAGTGTCACTCACAGGTGTAGGGCGCTTAGAACCGCTTCTGTGGAGTGGAGTTGGACGTGTAGAAGTACTTCTCCGGAGTGGTGCTTCTACTAGGTGAGATGTCTCTAGGAATGGCGGTGCTGGATGTAGAACAACTAAACTTACTCTGTAGACCATGGAACTGCTTGGCGAGCTTTTCTATAACCTTGTCTTGCATCTTGTTCCATTTCTGAAGGAGACTGATATGCTTGTGAGCTACCTTCTGGCTCTTGTTCTGCTTAGGCGCGGAGTAGTCCTGAAAGTGGAACCTCTCTGGCGCATATGCACCTGATTCATCCATTGGTTGTGCCTCATCTGACCCTGCTACTGCTTCTTCTCCTTCTACACCCTCCATAGGTACAGCCTCATTCTCAGAAGTATACAAAGATTCCAAAGGTGGAATGAACTCCGCGAAGTTGCCAACAGAAGTGAGAGATGGGCAAGGGAGTAGAAAGATGGATTTCCCAGCTTGAGGATGAGTAAACTTGTACCTATACAACCCATTCGTCTTCTTGGAGGCCAAAGTCTTTGACGTGATTAGACTCTTGATGTCAATCCATCTATGCGGAGTAGCTGGGGAGCGCATTGGGACATCGCATGCTACCAGGATTGGAGTTACTAAACCTCCCATAGCTATCACTCCTTTTGTCTCCAGCTTGTTCAACCGCTCAACCCATCCTCTGTAACTCAGCAGCTGCTCCAACAGATAGAATGAGATTGATGTTCCTGACTGATCTCCTCTCATGACTATCCCATCACACGTGCTATACATCAAATCCTTCAGTGCTATATCCATGATCTCCAGCTCGCCATTCACTAAAGTTCTAGTGGTTTCCCTCGCAAAGAAAGTACTAGCTAACGCTTTGTGAAAGTACCTGAGCACTGGACTTCTTATCTCACTACCTTTGGACCTGGAGGATGAAAACTCTTTCTTCTCATCACCAATAGTCTTCCAGAATGATAGCAACTCCTCTCTCTCAAACCATGGAATCGTTCATGGACCACTAGGAAACCCGAACAACACCTCTAACTGCTCGATGGTGAGAGTGTACTCCTTCTCGTAAACATTGAAGATCAAATAACCAACACTCTTCTTGGACTCAATCACAGACTTGTCCTCATATATGTGTTGGGAATGTCCTGAAATCTTTTGTACTTTACTCTAATTGAAGTTGTAATGTCGAGGTTTGACATTCGTATAATATTAGGTGATTATAATGTTTTGCTAGAGACCGCTTATAATCTATGAGTCTAAGACTTATTGCTAATATTATATGAACCTACAGGGTCACACACCTAAGCAAACTGGATAATAGATAATTTAGAATAAATTTAGTTTTATGGGTTTTCTATTTATAAGATAAATAGAAATAATAATTATATATATATATATATATATATATATATATATATATATATGTGATATGTATATATAAATTCCCATAGAAACTTATTGGGCTTAGTATGAATAATTATTCCTTGGTTAAAGAATGTTCACGTGATGGGCATGGCCCATGTGCTAATCCTAAGTTAGTTAGGGTTTTATGTATTGTATACAAAAGCAATAATACAAACGTGAGCATAGGATATAATTCATTCTCTACGGCAAAGAGAAAAACGTTTTCTTGATTAAGCCGATTAAACTAAACCCTAAAATACAAGAGCCAAAGAGTTTGTCTAAGTTTTGAGATTAGATCTCAACGGGACTAGCATCTTATCTGATCCAGTTTGTGTGCGTGTGGATACCGGTAGAGGCACAACACTTGGGGTGCTAAAACAACCTCGAATTAATATGGTTCACCTTTCTGCTGCAGAATATCCAGGTATATTCAAACCCTATGATCTAGATTTAATTCTTTATTTACACGGTTCCTGGCAATTAAATTCGTAATTAGTATTTATAAATCGTTATAAACCGATACGAATTACTACAATGGTATCAGAGCTTATGTGTTTAATACTGAATTTGAATCTAGTTTGATCTATATTATGATATAGAAGAATAATTGTTATTTGTTTTATCATGTTGAAATTTGTGAAATTTAATTCGTTAGACATGATAGAAACGAAATTGTATAATTTTGAAATTGAATCTATATTAGTATAAATATATTTGATATATATAGTACTTCTGTTTTATTCGTCAATGCCGATTGTCATGATTAGTTAATTATTAATCGGAACACAGTTCAATAGAAGTTTGTAATGCGATTACATAGTCACGAACGTGTGATGAATATTAATTGATATTAGCATGTAGAGACATGATTTTGTCATCGTGGAGTTACTGTTTATACTATATATTTGATTAAAAGAACAATACGTATTCTAGCAATGCATGATTGTTTGAACTTTGAATTAAATATAATATGTTGTGCTTCATCTCTGTAAAAGAAATATGATTTCTCAGTTGCACATATATGTTTTTCATACGTGTATATAGATACATGTTCTTATATTTAAACTAATTAAAGTAATTAGCATTAAAAGATAATATATTATATGTATGTAAAGTTATGGGTAATGGTTAGATTCCTTATTTGATTTGGAATTATTATTTATTCAAAAGATCTGTTACCATAACCGTAAATATAATAATTGTATAGATTCTGATTTGATCATAATCATACTTGTAATATTTCGATAGATCCTAATTAGATTAGGATAAATTCGATTATATTACATTCTAATCTAATTAGATTTATAGAAACTTAATTAAGATTAGTTTTCTAAATACTTAATAATTTTAATTTGATTAAAATTAATTAAATTGTTTATAATTCAAGTAAGTACATATTAGATATGTATTAGTTATATTTTATTTATATTAGATATAAATTTTAAATATAAAATTGAGTTATAAAATTAATTCCTCAATTAATATCAAGTATTTGATGTCTCTCCAATTTTATCAACAATTAAAACTTAAATTGTTGTATGGCGGGTCTGCCAAAGCAGCGGTCTGCAATTGTTTAAGAGTGAAGCAGATGGTAACGGTTACCATATGAAAATAAAATTGGTTTACTTGACTAGGCTATCAAAACGGTTTTGGGCTCAGAGACATAGGGTTGGATAAGACATAAGATGTCATCCACAACCAAGAATTATATTGGATATAATTAGCAAGGTGTTGCTTAACTAAATAGCTAGATATTCAGGGGTGGAGCCAAAGCTCACTTGGATTCTAGTGAAATATGGATCTTGGATCATTGTACTCATTAGAGGAAATTTGTTTTGAGTATAGTGTTAGTTTTCTTAATTGTTGTGAATTCTAAATTTTATGAACATCATATTAATTTCTGCTTTTCTTTTTCGCCAGTTACGTTAAACCCTCAAAGTTCCTATTCATTTCGAGATGTTCTTGAGAAGGACAAATTGAATGGATCAAACCCTCTTAACAACTTGGAAGATCTGGAGAAGAAGAAAACATTCGAGGTCTCTTCTTCGGGTATCTATGTTATAGAAGTAAATGTTACTACTTCTGGTTCTACTCCTTGGGTATTGGATACCGGTTGTGGTGCTCACATTTGTGTAAATGTGCATGGCCTAACCAACAGTAGAACTTTGGAAGAAGGACAAGTGGACTTACGTGTGGCTAATGGAGCAAAAGTTTCTGCATTAGCCGTAGGAACATATTCGTTGTCTTTATCTTCAGGCATGGTTTTGGAGCTTAAGAACTGCTACTATGTTCCTGCTATAAACAAGAATATCATCTCCGTTTCATGTTTGGACATGGAAGGTTTTCACTTTTCGATCAAGAACAAATGTTGTTCATTTGATCGAGATGATATGTTTTATGGTAGCGCTCCATTAGAGAATGGGCTTTATGTTCTAAACCAAAGCACGCCAGTCTATAACATTCGTACCAAGAGATTTAAGTCTAATGACTTGAATCCAACTTTTCTCTGGCATTGTCTTTTGGGCCATATAAACGAGAAGCGCATTCAAAAGCTTCATAGTGATGGACTTTTGAACTCATTTGATTATGAATCTTATGAGACTTGTGAATCTTGTTTGTTGGGAAAAATGACTAAGGCCCCATTTACTGGGCACAGTGAGAGGGCTAGTGACTTATTGGGCCTTATACATACAGATGTATGTGGGTCAATGAGTACAAGCGCCAGAGGAAACTATCAGTACTTCATTACATTTACTGATGACTTCAGTAGATATGGTTATGTTTATCTAATGAAACATAAGTCGGAATCCTTTGAAAAGTTCAAGGAGTTCCAGAATGAAGTACAAAATCAACTTGGCAAATCAATAAAAGCTCTTCGATCAGATCGTGGAGGAGAATATTTGAGCCAAGCTTTCAGTGATCATCTCAGAGAGTGTGGAATTGTTTCACAGCTCACTCCTCCAGGAACACCACAGTGGAATGGTGTGTCCGAAAGGAGAAATCGAACTTTATTGGATATGGTTCGATCGATGATGAGTCACACTAATCTTCCAATATCCTTTTGGGGATATGCTCTAGAGACGTCTGCGTTTATGCTAAACAGATGTCCATCAAAATCAGTTGAAAAGACACCATATGAGATATGGACTGGAAAAGTTCCTAATTTATCTTTTCTCAAAATTTGGGGTTGTGAAGCTTATGTCAATTGATTGATTACTGATAAGCTTGGACCCAAATCTGATAAATGCTACTTCGTAGGTTATCCTAAAGAGACCAAAGGTTATTACTTCTACCATCCTACTGACAACAAAGTGTTTGTTGCTCGAAATGGTGCCTTTTTGGAAAGGGAGTTTCTTTCAAAAAGAACTAGTGGGAGTAAAGTGTTACTCGAAGAAGTTCGAGAACCACATGAGGATGTTCCAACTTCTCAGGAAGAACATCAGTTGGATCTACGAAGAGTCGTAGAACCTACACCTGTGGAACCTGAGGTACGTAGGTCCGAAAGGAACCGTCACGAACCCGATAGATTTGGAGATTGGGTGACGGATGATCATGATCTATTGATTATAGAGAGTGATGAACCTACGTCATACGAAGAAGCAATGATGGGCCCCGATTCCGATAAGTGGTTAGAGGCCGCAAAATCCGAGATGGAATCCATGTCACAAAACAAAGTATGGAGTTTGGTTGATTTACCTGATGGTGTAAAAGCCATTGAGTGTAAATGGATTTTCAAGAAGAAAATTGACATGGATGGTAATATACAGATATACAAAGCTAGACTGGTGGCGAAAGGTTACAAGCAAATTCATGGTATTGACTATGATGAAACCTATTCACCAGTTGCGATGCTTAAGTCCATTCGGATTCTCCTAGCAACTGCTGCTCATTATGATTATGAGATTTGACAAATAGATGTGAAAACAGCTTTCCTTAATGGAAATCTTGAAGAGGATGTGTACATGACACAACCCAAAGGTTTCACTGTTCCTGAAGCTGCTAGGAAGGTATGCAAGCTTCATCGTTCCATTTATGGATTGAAGCAAGCATCTCGGAGTTGGAATCTTCGTTTTAATGAGGCAATCAAAGAGTTTGATTTCATTAGAAACGAAGAAGAACCTTGTGTTTACAAGAAGACTAGTGGGAGCGCAGTCGCATTTCTGGTATTGTATGTAGATGACATACTGCTTCTTGGAAATGACATTCCCTTGCTCCAGTCTGTCAAGACTTGGCTTGGAAGTTGTTTCTCGATGAAAGACTTGGGAGAAGCTGCCTATATTCTTGGAATAAGGATCTATAGAGATAGATTGAACAAAATAATTGGACTAAGTCAAGACACTTATATAGATAAGGTTTTGCATAGGTTCAATATGCATGATTCTAAGAAAGGCTTTATACCAATGTCTCATGGCATAACTCTTAGCAAGACTCAGTGTCCTTCGACACAAGATGAGCGAGAGCGGATGAGTAAGATTCCATATGCTTATGCTATAGGATCTATCATGTATGCTATGCTCTGCACTCGCCCAGATGTTGCTTGTGCTTTGAGCATGACGAGCAGATACCAGTCTGATCCAGGTGAAAGTCACTGGATAGTAGTCAAGAACATCCTTAAGTACTTGAGAAGAACTAAGGATAAGTTTTTGGTTTATGGAGGAAGTGAGGAACTTGTTGTGAGTGGTTATACCGATGCCAGCTTTCAGACAGACAAAGATGATTTTCGATCTCAATCAGGATTTGTCTTTTGTCTCAACGGAGGAGCAGTGAGCTGGAAGAGTTCCAAACAGAGCACTGTGGCAGATTCTACAACTGAGGCTGAGTATATAGCTGCTTCTGAAGCGGCTAAGGAGGCTGTTTGGATTAGGAAGTTCATTACTGAACTTGGTGTGGTTCCTAGTATTTCTGGCCCCATCGATCTTTACTGTGATAACAATGGAGCCATCGCTCAAGCGAAAGAACCTAGATCACACCAGAAATCCAAACACATACAAAGGCGATATCACCTCATTCGTGAGATTATTGATAGAGGTGATGTGAAGATTAGCAGAGTTCCAATGGATGCAAATGTTGCTGATCCGTTTACTAAACCTCTTCCGCAGCCTAAGCATGAGAGTCATACTGCTGCGATTGGCATTAGATTTATAAAGATGTGATCTTATTTCTAGTGGGAGGTTTTTATTTATTTATTTATGATATGATGTTCATGTTAAAATACATTTGAATTTATTTTCAAATTAATGAAATTTGTTTCAGTATTATTTATTTATTGGATAATTAAATAATAGTCCCAAAATAATTTACATCATTCTTATAGGCCATCAAGTACGTGACTTGATCATGAAACCCTATATGTGGAAAATGACATAAATTTTAGAAGTCCCTAGTCAAGGTTATTAAAATGGGACATTAATAACTAAGAATGGCTAGTATGTGAGGTGACTGATGACTACGTTTCATGGAGTCATTAATATGTGGTATTAAAGTCAATCACATGGATATGTGTTAGAGAACACAGTATTGGACTGACCCGTTATGAGAACTCTACAAGATTGTTATATGAGTGTCATAAGAGTTTCTCATCACAACTATAGAGTATAGTCCTTTGACCTGAGTTCGTCATGATTTCTCATTCATGGATTAGTTCGCTTTGACTCTGTCAAACGTCAGCCGTAAAAGGTGATTATAAAGACAGTGATTGGGCGGGTTATGAATTGTTTAAGGAACAGGGATGGAACAAGATGGGATTTGTCCCTCCCATATAACGGGAGATAAATATATCTGGGCCTATCGAAGATTTGATACTGTGAAATGCGTGGCCGCGCTCAAACGAGGTGAATGTCAGTCGTTTGTTTTTATCAGTATAAATCAGAGTTCGATAAACATGGTCTAGCTTAATAAGGATGACAATTTCTTGCCTTGTGCTGAGATCGAGATATAGAGACGAAGGGATTACGGGAATAGAAGATTCCAGTACAAGTGGGAGATTGTTGGGAATGTCCTGAAATCTTTTGTACTTTACTCTAATTGAAGTTGTAATGTCGAGGTTTGACATTCGTATAATATTAGGTGATTATAATGTTTTGCTAGAGACCGCTTATAATCTATGAGTCTAAGACTTATTGCTAATATTATATGAACCTACAGGGTCACACACCTAAGCAAACTGGATAATAGATAATTTAGAATAAATTTAGTTTTATGGGTTTTCTATTTATAAGATAAATAGAAATAATAATTATATATAATATATATATATATATGTGATATGTATATATAAATTCCCATAGAAACTTATTGGGCTTAGTATGAATAATTATTCCTTGGTTAAAGAATGTTCACGTGATGGGCATGGCCCATGTGCTAATCCTAAGTTAGTTAGGGTTTTATGTATTGTATATAAAAGCAATAATGCAAACGTGAGCATAGGATATAATTCATTCTCTACGGCAAAGAGAAAAACGTTTTCTTGATTAAGCCGATTAAACTAAACCCTAAAATACAAGAGACAAAGAGTTTGTCTAAGTTTTGAGATTAGATCTCAACGGGACTAGCATCCTATCTGATCCAGTTTGTGTGCGTGTGGATACCGGTAGAGGCACAACACTTGGGGTGCTAAAACAACCTCGAATTAATATGGTTCACCTTTCCGCTGCAGAATATCCATGTATATTCAAACCCTATGATCTAGATTTAATTCTTTATTTACACGGTTCCTGGCAATTAAATTCGTAATTAGTATTTATAAATCGTTATAAACCGGTACGAATTACTACAATATGACCACACCAAGTGACGACAGAAACTGAATTGTCTCTTCTCGGAAACCCTCCATTGGTCTGAACATGTGTCTTTGGAGGTGACATTGGCGGAAGAGATACTCGACATCATCAGAAATCCCGAGTTCTACCATTGTCTCCCGGTGAGGATATCTCGTCCCCAGAAACTCATGCTGCGAGAACATAGCGTGGTAATCATGGCGGGTAAGGACTGATTCATTATCCTTCGCTTTCTTCCCCTTCTTTATGGTCTAGTAACCCTTGCAGCTGGAGCTATCTCACGTTCATACTCGATATCTTCATCAACCAACTGCATCGGCTCCCTTACAGGCCGCTTCCCGCGGGAAATCTCTGCTCGATCTCTGGAAGACTGACTTGAACCACCTCTCTTTGGCCTACTAGCCCTGACTGCTCCTACTAGTGCTCGGGTTTCTGTTTCAGCTTCTTCCTCGAGCATTGCTTCTTCTTCAGTAACCACAAACCGGCTACTCGACCTAGGTGGTCGAGTGAACTGCTCAAGAGGCTCAATCTCCTCTGTTTCTTGGCTTGAATGGCTTATCTCAAGCGCATTCTCATCTCGTTCCTCTATCTCCTCTGTCTCCTCACTTGACTCACTAGGGATGATCTCAAAACCTTCATACCCTTCTTTTCTTCTTCTTGCATCAAGCAGATTACTAGAATGAGAGAGTTTTCGGGCTATGGTTGAGGAGGGAATGCGTTGTAGTTTTGGTTCTGGAAACAAAGCCTTTCTCCTGGCTTTTGTAGCAATTCTGTGAATATTCATAGTCAAAATCTGAAAGGAATTAACTCAAAACCAAATATTAGTATGTTAGTACCAAAAACAAACCAAAACAGAGAAGACCGGTTCAATCTTGTGCAAAACTAAACCGTACTCGACCAAGAGCTATAGTACTCGAGTACAACAAAGAACAGAGCGACGGATTAAGACCAAAACAGAGTAAGATATGATATGTTCTCGACTTATACGACCTAAACTCGGATTGTATATGACTTCTACTCGTTCTAAGTAGCAAAACAGAGCAATACAGGGCAATAAAGAGCAATATCGGATCAAAATACAATTACAGGCAAGCTAAGCACACGGTACTCGAGTTATTTAAATCAGAGATATACCAAAATCAAGAAGAACGAAAGCAAACCGTTGATACCGTTTGGTTTGAACAGAATCGGAAAGCTACTCGAGTATTGAATTGGTTGAACTCGAGTACGGAACTATTGCCTCAAGTTTGAACCGTAAAGCTTGAAAGAGAATTCATGAACCACTCGAACATGGAAGGGTTGAGCTCGAGCATAAACCAATTGAACTTGAGTACAGTTTTTGAACTCGAACACGTCTCACGAACTTGAACTCGAAACAGAGCTCTCTTCACTCGAACAGAATTCCGAAGCACTCGAGTGGTATGTGAATCGGAGCAAACTCGGGAAGAGGAATTGATGGTGAGGATTCTAAGTGAAATCGAATGGAAGTGATGAAAGAAGTCGCAAATGAGAGGATTTAGAGAGTATTTGTGTAGATGCTCGAGTTCTGGGGAGTATTTGAGAGAGATGGAGGAAGAAAGAAGAGATAAAGTGAGAGGATAATATTTTGTTGTTTAACTTGAGTGTTAAAACGTGTGGAGGAGAGTAGGATAAGAGGATTTCGGTTTTGGATAGATAAGGTAAGAGTTTGTGTTTTAAAATGAGTGGAAGAGAGATAAGGGAGCTTTTACTCGAACAGAGGAGGATAAGGGGACCAAAATTTGTCTTTTTCAGAGTGTGGGACCACTATGTTGGAGGCTACTCGAGTTACTGTTCGAGTACTGTAGCATTTTTTCCAAAAAAAATTTCCTGAGCTTTTCCTGAACCAAAACCTTCTTTCTTTTGCCTGTAAATCAAAAACACTAAAGAAACACATTAAAAATAACAAGAAATAAAGCATTATTTACAGAGATAAACATGGGAATTCCTCCCAAGTGAGCTTGTTTTAAGTCTTTAGCTTGACTTTTCTTACTCCCTTTAAGTGCTGAGAGGTTCCTGAAGATGAACTGTTGCTCCTTCAGGAATGATACTGTCTGCAAGATACTTCTTGACTCTTTGGCCATTCACTCTGAACTCTGAACCATCCTTAGCAAACAGTGATACTGTACCAAATGGAAGAACTTCTTTGATAGTGAAAGGACCAGGACCACCGTGACTTGAGCTTTCCGGGAAATAGCTTGAGTCTGGAGTTGAATAGTAAGACTTGGTCTCCAGCCTTGAAGTCTTTAGGTGAAATCTTCTTATCGTGAAAGGCTTTCGTTCTCTCCTTGTACACCTTTCGAACTTTCATAAGCTTCCAGCCTTATTTCCTCAAGTTCGTGCAGATCAACCGATCTCTTCTCTTGAGCTTCTTTTATATCCAGATTCAGCAACTTGGTAGCCCAGATGGCCTTATACTCAACTTCAACCGGAAGGTGACATGACTTCCCGTACAACATCTGGAATGGAGTCCTTCCTATTGGTGTCTTGTAATGCAGTTCGGTAAGCCCAAAGTGTATCGTCTAACTTGGTAGACCAATCTCTCTTTGAAACACCAACAACCCTTAGCAAGTATGGCTTTGATCTGTCGGTTGGATACTTCTACTTGCCCGCTGGTCTGAGGATGATAAGGAGTAGCTACCTTGTGCTTCACACCGTGCTTCTTTAACAGGCTCTCAAAGACCTTATTGATGAAATGAGAGCCACCGTCACTGATCACAGCTTTAGGGATACCAAATCTGGGGAAGATGATACTCTTAAACAGCTTCAGAACCACCTTATGATCATTAGTTGGAGAAGCAATGGCCTCAACCCATTTGGAGACGTAGTCCACAGCAACTAAGATGTACTTATTCCCGTGAGAAGAAGGATTAAAAGGACCCATGAAGTCAATTCCCCAAACGTCGAAGACTTCAACTTCCAAGATCGGGTTCTGTGGCATTTCGTTCTTCCTAGTTATATTTCCCATTCTCTGGCAAGGATCACATTTAGCAATAAATCCATGTGCATCTTTAAACATGGAAGGCCACCAAAGTCCAGCTTGTAGTATCTTCTGAACTGTCTTAAAAGTAGCAAAATGTCCTCCAATTGCAGAACCATGACAGTGTTCCAGCACCCCTTGAACTTCCTCTTCAGCAATACACCTTCTAAATAAACCATCTGCTCCTTTCTTGTACAAATAAGGCTCATCCCAGTAGTAGTGGTTGATGTCTCTAAAGAACTTCTTCTTCTGGTAAGCATCAAGACACTTAGGAATCTCTCCGCAGATCAAGTAGTTTACAAAGTCAGCATACCATGGAAACTTCTCTTCTTCTACAGCCAATGCTTCATCGAATTCATTCTTGGTGTATCCCAAGTCATAACACTTGATAGCCAACAGCTGCTCTTCCGGCATGGAATCGTCAATAGGGATTTCATCTTCAATCCGCATTCTGGACAAGTGATCAGCTACTCCGTTCTCTATACCCTTCTTATCAACAATCTCCATATCAAACTCCTGAAGTAACAAAATCCATCTCAGCAGTCTAGGCTTGGTATCCTTCTTAGCATAGATGTGTCTCAACGCTGCATGATCTGTGTAGACTATCACTTTAGAACCCACCAGGTAGCTTCTAAACTTCTCAAATGCAAAGACTACAGCCAGCAACTCTTTCTCTGTTGTAGCATATCTCCCTTGAGCATCGTCTAACGTCCTACTCGCATAGTAGATGACATGCAACTTCTTATCTATCTTCTGACCCAACACAGCTCCAACTGCATAGTCTGAAGCATCACACATGATCTCAAAAGGATGATCCCAGTTTGGTGCTTGGACGATTGGAGCAGATACTAGAGCTTCTTTAATCTGGTGGAAAGCTCTCATACACTCTTCATCAAAGACGAATTCGGTCTCCTTGCAGAGAAGTCGGGTAAGTGGTCTAGCAATCTTTGAGAAGTCCTTGATAAATCTCCTGTAAAAACCAGCATGACCCAGAAAGCTTCTGATATCCTTGACGGTTTTCGGAGGCTGCAACTGTACCATAACGTCTATCTTGGCTTTATCAACCTCAATCCCTTTCTCTGATATCTTGTGTCCTAGTACTATACCCTCTCTGACCATGAAATGGCACTTCTCCCAGTTTAGCACTAGATTGGTCTCCTCACACCTTGTCAGAACCCTGCATAGATTTAACAAACAAGAGGAGAAGGAGGAGCCATAGACTGAGAAATCGTCCATAAAGACTTCCACCGTCTCCTCAATTAAATCCGAGAATATTGAAGTCATACACCTCTGAAACTGTAGCAGGTGCATTACATAATCCAAAAGGCATTCTTCTATATGCAAAAGTTCCATAAGGGCAAGTAAAAGTGGTTTTCTCTGATCATTAGGGTGAATTGGTATTTGAAAGAATCCACTATATCCATCAAGAAAGCAGTAGTATGGGTGATTAGCTAACCTTTCTAGCATTTGATCAATAAACGGTAAAGGAAAGTGATCTTTTCTAGATGCAGCATTTAGCTTTCTATAATCAATGCACATTCTATGTCCTGTTATAGTTCTAGTAGGAATCAATTCATCTTTATCATTCTTTATAACAGTCATTCCACCCTTCTTAGGTACACAGTGAACCGGAGATACCCAAGTGCTATCTGAAATAGGGTAGATTACACCCGCTTCCAATAGTTTAAGTATCTCCTTCTTAACTACTTCTTTAAGATTAGGATTTAACCTTCTCTGTGGTTCAATGCTAGAGTAAGATTCATTTTCAAGATGGATCCTATGCATGCACAAACTAGGTGAGATTCCTTTAATATCAGACAGAGAATAACCAATTGCTCTCCTATACTTTCTAAGTTCATTCAATAGCAAATGCACCTCATCATCATTCAAATTAGCATTAATGATCACAGGGTAGGTAGAGTTTGTTCCAAGGAATGCGTACCTTAGACCTTGAGGGAGCGGTTTAAGATCAACTTTCGGAGCTTTAAGTTCAGACCAGTCGTCTGATGCACAAGTTGATGGTATCTCGAGTGGTATACTCGAGTGTGTGTTTTCGGCCTCCTCAGATGGTCTGCTCGAGTTGCTACTCGAGTAGTGTGCTCGAGTAGTTGCTGAATCGTCCTCAGTTACTGCCAAAACCTCTGTTGGAGACACAATCAGCTCTTCAAAGTACTTTGGACCTTCTACTTCTTTATGTGAGTCTAAAAGCTTCTTATAACCCAAAGTCTCCAAGTGCAAATATCCGTCTTCTCCGTCTTTGGTTAAAGCACTCTGTAAGTGATCTTCTTCAGAAAGCTCTTCCAGCAATTCGTCGGCTAATCTATCCATCTCCTCAATCCAGAAGACTTGTCCGTCTATGGTGGGTTTGTTCATTGTTTTAGTGATGTCGAATGTCATCTTGAAGTCTTCTCCGAGGTTTAAGTCGATCTTACCTCTCCTGACATCAATGAGAGCCCCAGCAGTTGCTAAGAAAGGTCTCCCTAGTATAAGAGGATCCTTTGGCTCTTCATCCATTTCTAGAACAACGAAGTCTGTAGGGATCTCTACTCTTCCAATTCTCACTGGTAGATCTTCCAACATGCCATGAGGGACTCTTACGGATCTGTCAGCTAAGATTAGTTGGATATGGCAGGACTTATACTTGTTGAAACCGAGCCTTCTTGCTACTGAGAGTGGCATGAGACTAACCGAGGCTCCAAGATCACATAAACATTTACTGAAGAACAATGGACCCAGTGAACAAGGCAGAGTAAATGAACCGGGATCTCCTAGCTTCTTTGGTACGATCTTCTTTT